AACAACACACAAAACATTTTCTATAAATATCCATATTTATATCAGTATTCAGGTAGCTTTTCCTTTTGGTATATCTAACACAGGAAGGGACAATACATTTAAAATTACAACTGACCTTAGCAAATGTTGGAAAGAAAGATTAATAATTGATTCCAACTAGTCTGTATAAACAAAATTTTTTTTAGGTTTTTTAACCCTTTATGGCCCAATGTTGCCCACAGGCAACAACATGTTTTAGAGCTTATATTTAATACGCGGCAAGTAAATGTATACTTTTTGGATTACATATGTTAAAAGCTGATTATGGACGACACATATCAAAAGAATAATCTAAAAAATATGTACAGTACCAAATTGTTTATACAGTCCAAAATATTTAAATCGCTTCGTATTCGAAGTTATAAATTGGGTACTTTATTCACTAAAAAAGAAAACAAATCATTAATTCTAAATTCATTATGAAATAAATAATAATGAAATAATAATAATAATCAATTGTTGCTGGAACAAAACTTTTAGTTATTTTTATCGTTATACGAGGGCAGTTCGGAAAGTTCTTAGCCTAGCACAAAAAGCGCAGTATAAACAGAAAAAAGTTAAGTGTTTTGGAAACTTCCCTCTCTGCTATGAACACATATAAAATTTTGTTTCCATCTGACAACTCCTTCATATTGAAACAGGTGTTCAAAAAAGACGCATCCGCAGTTTTTTACGATGAAAGAACGCAATTCTAATTTTTCCATTGTAAAAAACTGCGGATGCGTCATTTTTGAACCCCTGTTTCAATATGAAGGAGTTGCCAGATGGAAACAAAATTTAACATGTGTTCATAGCAGAGAGGGAAGTTTCCAAAACACTTAAATTTTCTTCTGTTTATACTGCGCTTTTTGTGCTAGGCTAAGAACTTTCCGAACTACCCTCGTATGACGATTTATGCATGTCCGTCTATTGAAATCACGGTAGAGACCGAAATGTGTCCGTATAAATAATTATTTATATTGATTCAAGCTTCTGGGTAGCCCACACACAACGATGACCCCCAATATTCGGCATTTTGGAGACATTTTTCAACCGAATTGTCTGCAATTTGGTATTTTGGGTTGGGTCATTGTATAGCACATCTTCGTATTAAAAATTTTTAATATTGACCCTTTGACTTTCAGATGATGGTACCCCTATGATGGTACCATATCCATATGACGGTACCCCTAATATTCAGTATTTAGGTGATATTCGACATGGATATAATTGTAATGGTTCGAGGTAGCTCCCATTCAAAATTAATTTGGCAACCCTGTCGTGAATGTTCACTAATTTTGTGGTGCTCTGTGCTCGTTTAAAAAATATTTAATTTCTAACAATATAATCTGTGTTTTTGTGGTAACGGTGTTTAAAAGTGTTGTGAAATAATTTTTGTGCATTTTGATATAATTGGAAGTGTGAAATATAACATATTTTTCCTAATATTAATTAATCTTTTTAATTCTTATTGGCATTTTGATTCCATTCCCAATTTGTTCCTTTGTTGCATTAGCTTATATTGTTGTTGTAACATTTCTTTTAATTTTATTTTGTTTTGTTATTTTGACATCTCAAAACAGAGTTGCCAAATTGTGTATTTCATAAGAAATTAAAGGGATAGAAATTCCAGTAAATTCATAAATTATTTAAAAAAAATAATAATAATAATAATTTTTAAAAATGGTTTGTCCTTACGAGTTATGTAATATTTCCGTAGATGATGAGTTGTGTGTCACATGCTGGTTTTGCCTTAATCAATGGCACGTTAAATGTGCTCGAATTAATGCAAAAGTAGTGGACACAATTAGGGATAATGTTGGTGTCCGTTGGTGCTGTGTCCATTGTCGAAAACTTTCAGCTGACTTTTATAACTTTGTAAAAGACTTGCAGTCGGAGCTTGGTTCGATGAAAAAGGAATTTACATCGTTATCAAAACGATTTGAGAATTTTTCGAATTTGTTCGACAAGTACCAAGAGCTTGATGAATTTGTATCATCACCGTCTGTGTCTGGGCAGAAACGTAAAAGGTCTGCGAAAAAGGCTCCCAATAAAGTCGTGCCTAGTCGCAAACCCACAGTTTCTGTTGGGAATACAGTGCCACAATCACCTTCCGTCAATATCACAGATACAACGGAAACTGATTGTGTCCAGACATATGCTAGTGTTGCGTCACATTCGGCCTCGGAAATCGTTAAGGATGTAAATGAAGTGATAAATCCAAAATCTGTGAGTATAAGTAGTGCTAGTCTGGAAAAGACTTCAAAACCTACTCACGGAAATCGGGAATCATCAGTTCAATCATCTAATGCGTCTTCCGTAGCTGGCACTAGCAATTCCCTCCAACCTGGTCAAAGACCATTATCTATGGCTCCCACCAGGAAAATGGTATTTGTATCTAGGTTTGCACCAGATACCTCGGCTGAGGATATAAATTATTATATAAAATCAAAAATCGATGGAAATTTCTTTCTACGTTGTTATAAGCTCCGGTCTGCTTTCTCAGAAAGTAGATCATCTTTTAAAATCGTAGTAGAAGAAAGTATGTTTCATCGACTAATTTCGAGAGAATTTTGGCCTGCTAATGCATTTGTAAAGGAATTTCTGGAAAGATCTGAAAATTTAGCTCATTTGCCTCAGAGGGCTGAAATATTGCCAAAAAACTAAATATGTTTCTCAATGTTTGCTATCAGAATGTAAGAGGGTTAAACACAAAATTAACTCGATTATTCTCTGATAGCCTTGGGTTTAATTATGATGTTATAGTATTTTCTGAAACTTGGTTAAAACCATCCGTGTTAAATAGTGAAATTTTGTGTTCTAGATATCAAATATTTAGAAAAGATAGAGTTCTTAAAAAAGGTGGTGGCGTCCTTATTGCAGTTGATGCCAAATATTCCACTAATTTAATTGAATTAAACTGTTTTGATATCGAATTTATTTGCATATCCATTGAATTAGAAAATTTTAAATTATTTGTGACTTGCTCATACATTCCTCCCTCATCGCAACTTGATATTTATAATCAGCATTTGTTAGCAATAAATTCAATCACTAACAAAATGAATGACTCTGACAAAATATTAGTTCTCGGCGATTTTAATCTGCCGTCCGTAAAGTGGCTTTCATTGCCAGATTCTGAGGCTCTAACACCTTTGACATCTGATGCAAATGTAAACTTATATACCTTTGAAATTGTAAATCGTTTTAGCGACATAAATCTTTATCAAATAAATAGCGTATCAAATTCTTATGATCGAATTCTAGATCTAGCATTTGTGAATTATACACAATATTTTGAAATTATTAGAATACCTCCAGTATGTACTCCCGAAGATAACTACCATCCTACATTATGCATATCCATGATGCATAATAATTTAGCTACCAACAATTCTTTAATATCATTTAAATCTGTTCCTAATTATAATAAAACTGACTTCCGAAAGCTAAACGCACTTATCTCAAACGTAAATTGGAGCACATTATTTATTTGTAAGGGTCATATTGATCTAGAATTATCAGTATATAAATTTTATGATATCCTAAATAAATTTATTCTAGAATGTGTTCCCATTGTTAGAGTTAGAAACTCGGATCGATATCCATGGGTCACATCTGGGCTTTCAAGTATTAAAAATTATAAAAATAAACTTTTTAAAAAATATAAAAAATCAGGCTCCTCTATAGATTATGCTAAATATGCTGTCGCAAGGTCTAAATATACGTCAGAGTCCCGAAAACTTTACAATCTTTATTTAAACAAGATTAAACTTAATTTCAAATCCAATCCTAAATCTTTTTATGACTTCGTTAATATAAAAAGAAAAGCTACGTCAAAGCCCACCATCCTGAAATTCAATAATCAGACATTTGAGAAAAACTCTGAAATTTCAGAGTGCTTTGCAAATTTTTTCGCTACAACATATTCATATTCACCCTGTCCAAATAAAGATACATATAGTTATAAATTATCGACGATAGATCAAATATCTATGCCTTTTTTACAAAGTCAATATGTTTCTAAAATCTACGTAATTTAAGATCAATTAAAAGTCCAGGTCCGGATGGCATTCCTAGCATAATTCTAAAGTACTGTTCAGATACATTAGCTATCCCTTTAACGCTATTGTTTAATTATTCCCTGAAATATAGTCATTTTCCGACCTTCTGGAAGAAATCCTATATAGTTCCTTTACACAAATCTGGTAGCTTAACTAATGTCTCGAATTATAGAGGAATTGCTAAATTAAGTGCAATTCCAAAATTATTCGAAAAACTGATTACTGATGTAATTTCTCATAAAGTTCAGCCAATCTTAAGCCCATATCAACATGGTTTTCGTAGTGGCCTCTCAACCATTACCAATCTTATTCAATTTTCCTCAACCGTCATAAAAGGTTTTATTCAGCGTAATCAAACCGACACGATTTACACTGACTTCAGTAAAGCTTTTGACAGGGTTAACCATGAACTTTTAATATATAAATTAAATCAAATTGGTTTCAGTATAAATTTAGTTAAATGGATATCATCTTATTTGAGAAATAGATCACAGGTAGTTTTGTTTGATGATTGTCTCTCCAAATCCATTAATGTTCCTTCCGGCGTTCCCCAAGGAAGTCATTTAGGTCCACTCCTCTTTCTTCTATTTATAAATGATTTACCAAATGCAATAATCCACTCCAAATTGCTAATGTATGCTGACGATGTCAAGTTGTTTATCACCCATAACTCCATGAAGCAAGCTGATTTACTTCAAAATGATTTAAATAACCTTTTTCAATGGTGCGAATTAAACTGTATGGATTTAAACCTAAACAAATGTAAGCATATGTGTTTTTCCAGATCTTCTACTTTAACAAGGCAATACAATATTAATGGTACTGTTTTATCAACTGTTGATTCATTTGTTGATCTTGGTATTTTAATGGATCCAAAATTAAATTTTAATAATCATGTTATTTCTATGGTAAACAAAGCCCACGGTGTCTTAGGATTTATAAAACGATGGGCTAAAGAATTCTCTGATCCCTACATTACAAAACAACTTTTTACATCTCTTGTGCGACCCATATTAGAATATGGTTCTGTTGTATGGGATCCCCAATATACAATTTATTCCGATAAAATTGAATCAGTGCAGAAACAATTTCTAATTTTTGCGCTGAGAGGTTTACATTGGAATAGTGACTTTGTGTTGCCTTCTTACACTAGCAGGTTAAAATTAATTCGATTGCCAACATTAAAAAGTAGACGTATTATGTTGAACACTATGATAGTAATTAAAATACTAAGCGGTAATATACCCTCAGACTTCCTAATTTCATCCATTAGAATAAATGTTCCTTTTCGATCAAGTAGATATTATCAACCATTATACGTAGATTTTCATCGCACAAATTATTCTATGGGAGATCCACTTAGTAAAATGTGTATTGATTTCAATTCTGTGTATTCTAACGTAGACTTTTGCATGAATATAGACCTAATAAAATCTAATATAATCATATTTTTAAATGAATAATACAACTTAATAACAAACTGGCTGTTGAAGTAGATTTCTGTAGCTGGTTTTCTATCCCTTCTCATATTCCATCATAATGCGGATTATGATGCGTACGCGATCCCTACGAAAGGGGAGGTCGCCCCCTCGGTCGGCAGGGGTGGGAAAGTGAGGCGTGGGAACGTACGATAAAAATAACGATCTCAAGCCCCTTTTCTCAATTCGGTATATTCAATGTCCTATCATAACATGTGTTTTCTCCTATGAGCCCCCATTAAGTTCACATATTTTAAATGTCATTCTCATGAGTGTTCATACTTATTATTTTGGCTATGTATGTGACCATTGCTCCCATTCCCATAATTATTAATCATGTCAACGTGATTGGCAGTTTTTTCATAACTGATAATTTCCGTCTATACAGAAATCGTAATAAAGATGTTTTATTGCAACTGATTTCAAATTAGTTTAACCGGCCACAAACTGAAAAACATGATAATAGGCTGGTAGCTTTAAAATACTCTCGAATTGTACCACGATAAGAATACAATTTCTTTCGAAAGTTTTATATGCGAATAGAAAGAACAATAGGTTGTTTTACACATTGGCTCTTAGGGCGCATTAGGACAATAAGTTCTTATTGCGATAAGGTGCATTATCCCGATTTAATTACTAAACCGAGCTGAATTAACCTCGATTTACCATACAACATGAAATCCACTCAATATCTCGATTTTCATAGAGTCCTTTGCTAAATCGAGAGAATTTCAAATGCAACCCTGCTTTTGTCCCAAAAGTTCTTTTTTCATGAAAGTATGCTCTAAAATAATTAATATTCAAAACAAAAATATGTCAGCTGCCGAAAAAAATTAAATTTTGTTTGCATTCATAATAAATATTGCTATAATTTAGGACAACAAAGGCTTTAATGCATTTCTGACCTATCGTAGAGCAATTTACTACAGAAATCAGGAAGTCGGCAAAATGTAAACAAATAACAGCTGACAAATCCACTTCATTTCAATTGAATACTAGTATACACAGTTGAGCGCAGCTGATGTCTCGATTAACTCTCAAAGTGCGTAATTTCGATGTGAAATGTTGCCAACCATGTGGAATATTACAAGGAAAAATTTGACTGATGGTCGAGACTATGGCACAATGAATAGGTAGTCCATTTAGCGCAGCTGATGTCTCGATTAACTGTCAAAGTGGGTAATTTCTACTTGAATTCGATGTGCAGTGTTGCCAACCATTTGAAATATTATATGGAAAATTTGACAGATAATCAAGACAAAAACAAAAACCTTTGTTTTGTTTTTGTCTCCCTTAGAATTGCATCATGGTCGAGACAACAAAAAAGTTTTTTGTTGTGACACATCACCTTATGATTGCATCGCGACATACACAATTATTAATTAGTGCCAAAAATATTTGTTGGCTCAAGATTTAACCATGGTTGTTACCTCTTATATTTATAAGTTTTAGAGGCAGGGGACTTCAAAATATTTTTAAATACAACTTATTTAACAATTTTTGCCATGAACACATGATATGCGTACATTTCGAAGGAAGGTATGTATTTCATTTAAATTTTGAAAGCTGAATACTGTCAAAGCCAGATCAAAACAAGATTTAACATATGTTCATAACAGAGATGAAAGTTTCCAAAACACATAACGGTTTTCTGTTTATACCGCGCTTTTTGTGCTATGCTAAAAATTTTCCGAACTGCCCTCGTACGTATTTTGGGAAATGAAAAAATAAATATGAAATTAATTCAAATAAAAAATTTAGTTAAAATCTTATTTTTTATTTTAAAATTCATAGTGCAATTTTTTGTAAAAAGTCTTAGTGTGCGTGTGTTTCTTGTTTCTTAATTTATTTTCCTTTTCTTTGCAACTCCGATCATGTAGCTCATCTCGAAAGAGAAATTAATAAAAAACTTTTACATGAATGATCCTTCGCCCTAAAAAGGCATAAAAACAAAAAAACTCAAAAATTCATCTTGAGCCCGGCTGGGATTTGAACCCTGGTTCCCATGGCATCTGTTGATGTCCGGCGCCTTAGCGTTCAAAGCCACCTCCTTATCTTCTAAGGTTGCACAATATACAGTTGCATACCATTGAAGAAAAATATTGTAGTCTGTATGGAAAAAAAGTCAGTCACTACAAGAAAAATCTGATCTGAAAAGGAATGTTCTGGTGTGACGCCAAATGTCCGGTTGACACGTTTGAATTTAATTCGTAGATGCAATTTCGCAACAATAGTCGACATAAATATAACTTATCAAGTAAAGACATTTATAAGCCACATTGCCCAATATGCTTGATGAGCCGCTTAACCAACGACGAAACGCGTCGCATAACACTAGATTGCCGAAGGCAGTCATTTTGACCGTTTTTCAACTTCAAGTACAAAAACAATTGTGTATATTATGACCTAGCTTTTTAAAATTTGGTGACTTTTTGTACCACATAGAACTAAGTTTATTAATCATAGTAGCTGCTTCCTCGCCTCTTTCATTCCCCGTATTCACATGTGCTATACACACACAAAGGAACATACAAATCGGGAAAAATAAATTTTATATTTCCAGTCAATTTCACTCTTAGAGTAAAGACTTCCTCTTTTTCGAACATTTTGTCCGCGCTCTTATTTTTCAAAAGGGGAAACTCGAGAGCCCTACCTCCGAAAACAAATAAAAACAACGTTTTGTATGATTGCAAATAATGTAAAAAATATAAAAAAATAAGTTTGAAAAAATTTCTTTACACAATAACAATTCTTTCAGAATGAGGTTATTTTGACCGATTTTAGGCAATATGCCCGTCTTTCTAGAGATAATGGTGGTCTCTGGCTTTCCTTTTCATCATGTAGCTCATCTCGAAAGAGAAATTAATAAAAAATAATTTATTTTAGTTAATCCACTTGCGTATCTAAATCCGCTATTACGCTTCTATAAATGTCCAATAGGTAATATATAGTACTTACAATATAACATTTTATTGTCATTATCCTGATGGAGCAAATAGTATTGTCCTTTAAAATATTTATATAACCGTACATATTTCTGGGCGGAGTACCAAAAGTTGCAACTGTTATTGAACCCCTCCCCAAATTTATCATACCTCCCGCATACAAAGTGAATAAAAAAAGCTCCAACAAGAGAATAAAAACATCAGACGGAGAGACAATAAGTTAATATTGTTGTTGTTTTTGGTTGATTGTTGTTGTATTTTTTTATCAAATTTACTTTTGCTGTTGACGGAGCAAAACAAACCCATTCCAAAGTTGTCGAATAAAGAACACAACAAAACATTTTTGATGTGTTTTTTTCTATTTTATTATTTCAGTTTATATTTGTTGTTCGCGGCGTCATCTTCTCTTCACATTGACGGTTTTGTGTTTGTATATTTGAAATAAAACAAAAATATGTATTAATTTTCTATTCGAGTGTTCGCTTATTGTACCCAAAAAAAAAGAGAAGGAATTTGAAATACGCTGTTGATTTATTTTAAGATTTTGTGATTTTCGTAACACTCCACCTCCCCCCAAAATAAAAATCCAAACATAAAAGAAGATCAAAAAGTGTCAATTGTTAATATTTATCACAACAACAAAAACCTGTTTGAGCAAAATAAAATTTTAACACGTGTAATATTATTAAAAAAATTCTCAGGGTATCAATTATTTAGAGTATATGTTTCACCGACTGAATTCACGTGTGATTTCATAGTATTGAATACGATTGAAACTCTTCTCTAAAAGGCCAATCACACTTCTGTCTTCATTGGATTTAAAATACATATTCCTACGCAACAACAACATACATCAAGTATAGACAAGCTGCAAACCAAGATTCTTATATTATTATTATTATTATTCTCAACGCAACGCAGCCGCCAAAATTAAGATGCCACGGGTATGTGCCATTAATATTTGATCATACTTCCTTAATCGCCCATTGTTGTATCATCGGATATTCTCACTTATAAATTTATTCGTAGATATTTAATAAAAGTTCGAAACAAAGAAAAGCTTTATGTATGTCTGTCTACCTACACATAAATCCATACTTATGTATGTATGTGCACAAACAATTGTTCTGGGAGCTGCTGTTCTAAACGTATCTTAGCACAGTGGCCCAAATGTGTAAATATTGTAATTAAAATGCGATAGTAGTTTGTTTAATTTTTCGGCAAGTTGAAGTATTTGTCGTATATCCTATATGTTGAAATCAAGGTACAATAATACAAGGTATAATATATAGAGGTGAATAACAAAAATGCAACTCTGTAGGCAGTGGCTTCTTCAGTTGCTAAAAACGCGAAAAATTAATAAAACGTTATTGTTTCCCAAAATCGAGTAAAGAGATTTAAAATTCTGAACCCGCATTGCTATTACTCCTAGGATGTTAGGTATTGAAAATATATTCAGTGAGTTACAGTCAAAAGTATCCACTTGGTTTTTTATAATAAAAATGGTGTAAGTTTATGTTATTCGAT